TGTGAGAGACACACCACTTGTCCATCTAAAACCTTAAGATGATAGATGAGTGGGTTCTCTCATATATAAGTGCTCAATCTTCCCTTTTTATAATCAATGTGGGACTTCTTCCTCACACTTGATTCTCAACACTCCCCCTCAAGTGTGAGTCACAATGCTCCCCCTCATGTGGAATGACTATCTTCCACATACACTTGTACCATCGCTCGATACAAGTAAGCCGGTCCCTATCTCGAAACCAAAGGCTCTGATACCACTGTAGGGACAATTCCGAGGAGAGAGCATTTTTACTTGGGACACACCTTTGTGAGAGACACACCACTTGTCCATCTAAAACCTTAAGGTGATAGATGAGTGGGTTCTCTCATATATAGGTGCTCAATCTTCCCTTTTATAATCAATGTGAGACTTCTTCCTCACACTTGATTCTCAACACTCCCCCTCAAGTGTGAGTCACAATGCTCCCCCTCATGTGGAATGACTCTCTTCCACATACACTTGTACCATCGCTTGATACAAGTAAGCCGGTCCCTATCTCGAAACCAAAGGCTCTGATACCACTGTAGGGGCAATTCCGAGGAGAGAGCATTTTACTTGGGACACACCTTTGTGAGAGACACACCACTTGTCCATCTAAAACCTTAAGGTGATAGATGAGTGGGTTCTCTCATATATAAGTGCTCAATCTTCCCTTTTTATAATCAATGTGGGACTTCTTTCTCACACTTGATTCTCAACACTCCCCCTCAAGTGTGAGTCACAATGCTCCCCCTCATGTGGAATGACTCTCTTCCACATACACTTGTACCATCGCTCGATACAAGTAAGCCGGTCCCTATCTCGAAACCAAAGGCTCTGATACCACTGTAGGGGCAATTCCGAGGAGAGAGCATTTTTACTTGGGACACACCTTTGTGAGAGACACACCACTTGTCCATCTAAAACCTTAAGGTGATAGATGAGTGGGTTCTCTCATATATAAGTGCTCAATCTTCCCTTTTATAATCAATGTGGGACTTCTTCCTCACACTTGATTCTCAACAATAATAGTGTAAAAAACATAAACCAGAATTCGTAAAAATAATCCAGTTCTTAATAAGATAAATTACATCATAGTGAATCTTTACATAAAACTTAATCAACTAAATACTTGAGATCCTTCTAAACACATGATCACTTTATCATCACCCAACCCTAATCAACTAAAAATATATTTAAATAGTGTTGAAGCAACTAAGACAAATTATACAATTAGGGTGATCATCCTATTGAATTCTTCAAAAATTTCATCTTCATCTTTAATTCTTCATCTTTAATGTTGACATCTTAACCTTTTGCTTCTTTTCATTTAAATTTTGTAGTAATAAGAAGATAATTTCTTTTATTTTAGGGTTCATTTTTTCATCCAACCAAATAAAATAACTACATTTCTTATAGTCTTATAGTTGGATACATCAATGAAATTAGAAGATAAATAAATGACAAATCCTGATCTAAATAAAACAAAATAACATCAAAATATACATAAATGAAAATATATATACATTTCAGTAGGGTGTTCAAAACCAAACCGGCCCAATAGAAAACTGCAAAACTGAACCGAACCAAATCGAAACCGCAAAAAATCACATTTAGTTCGAATATGTTTGGGTCATTTTTTCACGGAACCGTGCAGTTCGGTTCGGATTGCGGTTTGTATTTTATAAACCGAACCAAATCAAACAAACCGCATTATGTTATAAAATCTTACTAACCAATATATATTTCTTTAATTCTTTAGAGAAATTAACATGTATTATGTGTATTATATTTATTTTAATTTACAAATCATAAAAAAATAAAATATTATTCATTTATAAATACTATTTTCGCAAAATATATTTTATCGTATTTTTTGTATAATATTTATTTAATAATGCAATTTTGTCTATATCATTCTTTAGATTTAGATGAAATTATAATACGTAATTTTATGTATCAAATTATAAACTTATTTTGACAATTATAAATTTTTTTATGGTAATATATGAACAATTAACGTAAAATTATATTTCCCTATATATTTGTATGTATGGCTTAATAATTTTTTTTTTTTTGTAAAAAATTGAATCAATCCAAACTGAATTAGTTTGGTTTAGTTTGATTCGAATTTATTTTTAAAAACGAACTAAATCAAACCAAACCGCATATTTTTTTCTCTTGCAGTTCGGGTGATTTTTTATTTCAAAACCGCTCAAACCACACTGCAAAAACCCTTACATACCACAACCATAAAACCACTGATCTAAGTTTATATCAATCTATATCATCATCAATGGAACATTGAAACTGCATTTACATTTGTACCTCAAAAAACTACATATACTTTCTATATTGGAAACTAAATACTGAGATGTTTTATTTTGTGAGTTTACAACGAGAATTTTGTTTAAACAATGAAACAGAAACGAATTAGCTTTTTCAAAATTGGATTTTTAGGGTTGGCTTGTAGTAAGATGGAAGAAAAAGTGTTCACCGTAAAAAAAACCTTTAATCTGATTTTAATTTTATGCCTTCTTCAAATTAATGTTTTTCAAATAATATTAAAAAATTATTCATTAATATTTCAAATTAAAAAGAAAACATAAAAGTTGACATGGCGTCAATGGCACGTAATAAATAAGGGGGCGCGTGCATAAAATTAGAGGGGACCAAAAAAACCACAAGAAAAATAAATTTGAAAGACCAAAAAGATAAAATTAAAAATTAAAAAAATAAAAACATCTAAGATCAAAAGTGCATTTATGATTATTATTTTTTAATTAAAACATTTATATAGAGGTGATGGACTTGCATACCCATAAGATCACATTTATATAGAGGTGATGATTAAGACCGTTGAATATAGATTAACGGTTAAGATGAAGTGAGATGCCTTGCTCCTATGCGGTGTCAAGAAGCGAATGTCCACTTCAACCACTTGTATGTAAGTGAAAGAACGATCTTTGCTTAATTGAACATATGACCCAGATGAGTTTTATTGAATTTTTTAATAGCCTGAAACAATAATTTTTTATTAAAATTGGTTAAATATTTTTTAAATCACACTTTTGATTAAAAGTTGCCAACACTCTTCTATAAATTTTGAAAAGCCGTTTGTATAAAAACCAATAAAATAGAATAGTTGAAGAACAAAAATAAATCAAAAATATATATAAAAAAAATGCACTATTATAACTGTTAAGTGACAAATTATAATATTATTTTTAAATAAATTATATGATATAACTAAATGATAAATTTTTATTGAATGAAAATATAAGACTATTTTACATTATGTGTATTGTCTTTTAACTCTAAAACGTAGATAGACTAGGGTGGAATATTTTCTTTTAAATGAACTAGTACTGTTATTCTAAAACACTTTTTATGACACAGCTTTTATTGGAGATATTCGTGATTTCAACGTAATATTCTAAGTTATCGAAAATCAGTCCTTTTTATCAAATAATAATATCGTTCACTGATAAAACATGTTCTTCTATGTTAGAAATGATGTCGTCAAAATCAATACTCACCATAGAACTATATTTTATTTTACTTTCATAATTGTTTAACCTGACGCAACTAAAAACATGGGAGTATTGGTCAACAAAAAACATTAAACTATTTTGTTTAACCAATATATGTAAAATTAACTAGACTACAACTCACTTATTTTCATCTATGCAGCACCGAAATCTGAAACGCAACGTCCGACATTGATATGGAAAAAAATAGACTAAACGTAATCAATCACAATCACAAGTATCGGGATCAATTTCAAACACCGAAATTAACATGGACACACCTTTTTCCAGAAGTGTTAATGATACAAGGATTTTCAAACTAATAGGTTTACTGTCAAATTCAACTCACTTATTTTCATCTATGCAACACAGAAATCTCAAACACAACGTCTGACATGAGACATCGATATGGAAAAAAATAGACTAAACGTAATCACAAGTATCGGAACCAATTTCAGACACCGAAATTAACATGGACACGCCTTTTCTAGACGTATCAAGGATACAGAGATTTTCACACTAATAGGTTTACGGTCAAATTCAACTCACATACACGTTAAGCATTGGGAGGTAGCTGAGATGCCAAAACACAAGATATCATCATGCTAACAGACTCCACATTCCATTATAAAACGACATTATAAATTAGACCAAGAACTTTCCATATATATGTATATAATAAAAGGGCATGGTTGGTAGAAAGATTGAACTCCAGTCTGGAAAGGAGATTGGGAATATATTTGGTAGATATTGAAATATACAATGGAATTAAAGGACCAAGGGGATTCAAAGTTCAAACCATTCCAAAACCAAAGGTTGCTTCCACCCGACCAGAAATCTAAGGTTTCATTTGTTTTTTATCAAACCAATCAAGGGTCTGTCTGTTTGATGTTTTAAAAACAAGGTTGGTGGAAAAAATGTGACTGGGAAAACACAAGTTACACAACATTAACAACCAATGTTGGCTTAGAAGGGGTACAAAAAGACACAAAAAAGTCCATGTGACGGCGGTCTTGGTTCGCGGTTGGCCACCCAATCAAAGAATTGGTCACTCTTCATATGGCATATTAGAAAGATCAAAAGTATCCAAACAGAAACTAAATAGCTATAGCTAATTAATAACAAACAAAAGATTTCAAAACATGTTTCTTTAAATAATCTGTAAACACCGGAAGTTAGAAACACCCAACCATGGAATTCTCTCGTTGCGAGACTGACCAGCATAAATTAAGCCTTAAAGAACCTTAAAACGACATCCAACTCTAGAAGTTACGCACAATAACTCATATAGCCCCAACGAGAAACAAAAGATACCATACTGCAAGTTTTGGCGACAAAAGGTTCGACTAAACGCCACAGGTACCTTAAAACATATCTGTTTCTATGTATGTATATATATGTAAAATATATATATCTCTGAGCAGCATTCATCCAAGGAACATGACAGCTGATTCAGTGCATGGGAGGACGGGTTGCGCGAGGGCGAACTGGTGTCTTGGATGGACTCACCCTGCATACCAAAACATAAGAACGATTAATTGACGAAACATAAGAACGGTTAATTTAGGGCAGTCAAAATGAAAGGAAAATCTGTCAATCCAACCTTATAGCAAGTGCACCCAAAACCACGCCACTACAGCTCAGTGCTGCAATTGCACTCTCAGCCTGAAAGAATAAGGCAAACAAATCTTCAGATAGTGAAGAAAATAAGACACACGGGAAACAAATAGTAACCTATCGAGACAGCTGCTAATAACTAATAGTAATCGCGGCATCTATTTCTTAAAAGCAAAAGGTTTCATCGATATTAGAAGATACAAAGAACTTCGATAATATAAATCCATTTTCCGGTCTTTTTTTTACCAGGGGATCGAAGATCAGGACAATAGCAGTTAATAGCAATTCAACAGAAGTATCTTACAGAGGAAAAAATTTGAAAATAACAAAGCTATGATGTCACAGAAATGCATAAAATTCAAAGGCAGAAAGCAACATTTTATTGTGTGAGCTTTATTGAATTCAACAAAATACTCAGTTAAAACGAGAAAAATCAATTATGAACACTTACAAAAGAAGACAACGAAAAAGTAGGGCATAGTGTCTATAGTGCAAGTTTTGACCCAAAATGAAGTTCATCAAGTTGAAGCTATTAAGGTCAAACAGGCATAACTACACTAATTCAAATTAAGGAAGCCCAAGATTTGGTAAATACATTTATATACTAGTAGACAAACAAACACGGGCAAACAAACAAACAGGCATAACTACACTAATTCAATTAAGGAAGCCCAAGATTTGGTAAATACATTTATATACTAGTAGACAAACAAACACGGGCAAACAAAAAGTCATCGTCACATATGCCATATAAAGAGTGGCTGATTCCCTTAAAAAGGAGTTGGCTATTTCAGAAGTGGGGCTGCCTAGAGAATTTGACATTATTATTGTCCAATAAATAGGTGCAAAACATGGGGATGGGGATACACTCGATCCTAGATTTAATTAACCGCTTTTATTTTATACAAATAAATTTACCATTCTATCACAAGCCTATTTTCACCATATTATGATCATAGATTGTTTCCAGTTTTGCAAAAGAAAAAAACCATATTTCCTTCATTAGCAAAACATGCTTCATTGCTTCCTAATGCAGTTTTTCTTCCTTTTTGAATAATAAAAACAAGGGAAGAAACATGCATTTTGTAAAAAATTGCTATGAATAGCTAAAATAGTGAATTTGAAATAATCGCACAAAGGAAACATCAATCATAATAAAACATACAGTGAGGAAATAGGAGATAGGCAGAGGGCTTGAGATATTGAGTCAGTAATAAAACATACAGGTCTATGAGCATGTGAGGAAAGGGAGACATTGAATTAAGGATATGAGAAGAGAATAGTGAATAATATAGAGCGAGGAGTTCAGGTCTCTCAAAGACCAGATTGGGGATTCCTTAACTCAGTTTCCATAAGCGGTTATTTAAAGCTATACAGCTTACATTTAAGCATATGGTTGTACTTTAATTTTTTCGTTAAAAGAAAATTAATTTGTTATGATGGTCTTCTGAGAAGAACATCTCACATTTTCTATGCAAGAACATCTCACATACTGAGAGCTTGACTTTGAACTCAGAATCAACCTAAAACACGGCTCCTATATGAAAACAGCATCAGCTTGGTGGTAAAAATATTGAGGAACATGACCGGGATAGTCACTTAAGTCAGTGTTGTCAATGGCGGATGGTGGTCCATGGCGGAGAGCCAAAATCCTGCCATATCAGTCGCTCTGCGGTGCCGTTATAGCGGATTATGGCAGAAAAATCTGCAATATCGACTGATATTTACCATTGCTTTGAGTCCGAAAACTGCCATATATATCCGTCATGGCCGATATTTGATAACACTGCTTGAAGTTAGTGGAAATTGTGTATGAGAACCGAGAACAGTCCAAATCTTCATCAAATCCATTGACGAAGATATGGAATTTGACATCCTCAATCTATGGCACCAATGTAGATTAAGAGAAAGTGGATGGGAAGCAAGGCGAAGCCATTCCCAATATTTGATTGCATATCTGCCATGAGAGATTTACAGATCTTGTTTCGACTCGCAAACAATACCAGAAAACAAATTTCCTTTAAAGAACAAAAAAAAAGGTGTAGTCTTTTTCATTATTAAATAATAAAATTTGTTTTACTAGAAAAAATGCACGGGAGTTTCTTATCCCAAAGAAAATGTGTAGCTTGCTAATATACTCCAAAGAAAATGGAGAGCAGCTCCCTTTACACATATGAGCGCACGTGCGCACACATTTTCTTTCATCCAAATAATAAATCAACAAGATTTATTTCTCATTTTCCTCGATTCTTTTTTTTTTCAAAATCTGGACAGTTTTAGGAAATGTTGACGCACACATTTTCTTTCATCCAAATAATAAATCAACAAGATTTATTTCTCATTTTCCTCGACTCTTTTTTTTCAAAATCTGGACAGTTTTAGGAAATGTTATGAGTGAGACGACGTAGAGTGAGAGCATTGTGACATTGTATAGGGGCAGTGTTCAAGTACTAAGCAGACTTGGGTATTACAAGGTACCTAAGTCCTACACGGAGCAATATGAAATGCTTAACGGAGAATTTAAGTAGCTTGATTATTACCCTTGATAGTTAGCTTTTAAGGAAGGACTCTGAAGTGCTAGGGTGCTTATCAAAATAAAACAAAATGAATTTATTTTAGGAGGGGGAGAGTGGGATAACTGCATTACTGCAAATGACAGCTGAAAAGGCAGCAATAGAATGGAACATGACGATTCTAATTTCTTAAATAGATAGAGAATGTAAAAAAAACAACCACGCAAACAGGACTAGTATCGGATAAAAATATGACAATTGAGAAGTTAGTGAGTAATTACCACGGTGAACTCCACAAAAGCAATTCGAGTCGAATGATGGTAATCCCCAAGAAGCCTCAGGCGTTGAACCTAGATGAATAAACCAAAATAAAGGAAAATATTTTACGATGAATACAAACAGTCAACAATCGCACCTTGATCAATACACGAAATTAAAAGAAAATATCTCATAAGATCCTTAAATTTAACAAAGAATAAAAACTAGAAGTGCGATTCGATGAATAGCCACAAACCTCTCCACAAAGAGATTCAAAGAAGTGTTTGACATCAGCTGTAGTAAGCTGCAGCAGTAGCAATCAACAAATAAGAATTATCAGACACGATAGCTGCAATACAGATACGGAGAAAGAGCGAGGAGTTCCTTCAAGCAAGATTCTAAGAAAGTTCAAATCGCAAACTACCTTCTTGTCGATATTTGTGCAATAAATTGTTCTAGTGCACATCTCTCTTTCATCTTCAGACTGAAAAATACAGCACCGATAGAAAATCAGAACAGAATTGATAGAAATTATTACTCACTCTAGTCAATCTTTTTGTAGAACATGCAATAGGCATCTATCTCTAAGAAGAAACATTACCCTAGGCAGATATGTTGGATTAACAGGTGCAATGGCAGTCTTCGAAGGGAGCACTCTCAATGGATAATATCCGAGCATGGTTCCAGACATGTTCAAAGCAGTCCTAGCACCGACTGTATACATAATATAATATAATATAATATGAAATAATATAATATAATATAATTAATACAGTGAAATAACGATAATAATTACAAGACAGACAACAATGTAACGGATCACGTGACGTCACCTTCATCTGTAAACTCGACGAAGGCAAACCGAAGAATAGAATTGGGATCCCCACATACACGGCAATCAACAACCTATGTCCACGTAAGATTAGTTGACTCAGTAATATGGTCCACCATCATTAAGAAAAGGAAACTATAACAACACAAACGACAATGTAACATGACACGTGTATCCGACAGTCACGTCTTACTAATGATTAGGGCTCCATGCACAGTTAATTAGTTAAAAGGTATATCTTTGTCGCGGAAACTATAACATCACAAATGACAACGTAACATAACAAACGTATCTGACGGTTACATCTTACTAATGATTGGGGCTCCATGCACAGATAATTAGTTAAAAAGTATATCTTTCCCGCGTTTTGTTTAAAACAGATTCGTTGCATTATGTTACATTATCATCATGTGATAGTTATTGTACAGCATATAATTTCTCCGTGATGAATAAGAACGCGGGAAAGTTATTGTACAGCATATATTGTACAAAATATAACCCGTTCTACCTGACCGCAGTTAAGAAAGAGAGCTGCCAGCTGCTCTTCAGTGACCTACATTCCAACATAAAACAATAATCCTTCAAATGAATACACAGCGAAAACAATGCAAACAAGCCGAAATGAGAGATTCAACAAGACAGCTGAAATCTATACCAGCTGATCAATGTCAGACACATAAACAGTCCTCCTAATCATCTCTTCTCTCTTCTCCATATCCATCTTATGATTCACTCTCCGCTTGGCATTATTATATCCATTCTTCCTCTGCAACATATAACACAGCATCAAAACCTAAAAAATGATATGAATAAAAATAGATCAAACAAAACAAAACATTCCATACCCTTCTGTTAATCTGTCCATTGGCATCGACAGAACTGTTGTTCTGAATCATAAAATTGTTACGGTAACCAAACCCAGCATTAGGTCCAGCAGCTAAATATCCCTGATAATTAGTTACCAGTGAGGGAGGAACAAATTCCTCGGCCATCGGATTCAACTTTGACAACAACTCCTCCAAATCCCTCATTTCACGCTTGAAACTCTCGCCCCCATGGTTAACAACCAGAATCTGATTCTGAACACCATTCCCATGCATCTGACCCATCTGATGACTCTTGAACCCATGATTACCATTTGGAACAACAACAGTGGGAACACCGTTGGTGTTCAGATTCTGATCGCTCTTGGGTTTGGATTTCTCAACATCAGTTGAGTCCGATGAAACCACACTCTTGTCCAAATTGTCACCGGAAGCGTCGATTTTTGTTCCAACATTCTCAGCCACCGCCATAATCACTTCTCTAAAGACTAAACTGTCTGAAACTTTTTTGTTTTTATCAGCTTTCACAATTTTCACTGAATCTGTATCAAATATATTGAACTAGTTAAGAATATTATAATAATTAAAAAAACGAAAATTAAAAAATAATAATAATAAATAAAATAAAGCTTACCTGGGTTGTATCTAAAAAAAATGAAGATTAAAACAAAAGATCAAAGTGAAAACTAGTTGAGAAAACGCATAGAGAATATAAAAAGGAGAGAAATCAGAAATGGGTGTGGGGTTAAAAGGGTAATTGTGGATTTAATCGCTGCACAAACTTTTTGGTGAGAATAACGTTGGAGTTTTGACGTGTTGATGTGTATTGTGTTGGGTTATGAAAGTGATGAGGAAAAAATGAACACTTATGGTATGGGAATGGACATGATGATGATAATAATAATATAAAAAAATAATGTGATTAAAATTGAATTACCTTAACTGCCCATTTAGTCACGCTTGTCACCACACTTGTTACTACGTCACGCATCTTATATTCCTCCTGGATGCACGGTAATAATATTATTGTGTGTCCAACTATTTCAATCACTTACGTAACTAGTTTTCTACCTTTCACAATTTCTAGTTTACCTCTTGATAGCTTATGACATATAAGTTCATTATAAAAGTGTTATTTTAATTTTATAAAAAAGTTTAAATGAGTTGAATTTCGTGAACTCGCAATAATCATGAAATTATTATAATATCGATATGACATGATTTTCTAAATGCGCAAATCACATGTTTTTAAATTATTTTATCTTTTAATAGTAAGTTAATAATAAGATATATTTACAATTTTGAGCTGTCTAGACTATTTTGTTTGGTTTAAATGTTGACTTTTTCTATCAGTCTTTTGTCTCCTTTGAAAAAACTTGGATACTAGTATTTTGTAATTAGAGAGTTAGAAATACATTAGCTAACTCTCTTTTGATATTTTAGACTCCAAAAAAGAAATGTTTTTTTCTTTAGGATCCTAGTAATTTAGTTCCTCTTTTTATCTTTTTTGTGAATCTCTTCGAAAAAACTTTTAAGTCTATTATATTAAAGTCAATTTTTGTAAATATAATCAGTTTTTTCATTATCTTTATGTTTATGAGTCTTCTTTATTCTATGATTTATTACATGATTCTTCATTATCTTCCTCGAAAGTTACATAAGCTTTACTCTATTTATTTCAATATTTAGACTCCCTTGTGTTTGTATGTATGACTAGAATAACTAATCAGTAGTACACAAAGCAAAAAATGGCATTTTAAAAAGATTTTTGTGCATATGGAGTATTGGAATGATTAACGAGATTCATGCACAATCGTAAATGCAAAACATGACGGATTAAGGAAAATAAATATTCAGCAATGTTGATTAACTAACGTCTTCAATTTAAATAAGATATTCCAATTAAAGTAATAATTAATTCCAAAATGGCAATTGACTAATACGCATTTAAATTGAATCAATATTTATAATTCACAAACCTAACTTAGATTATATACAATTGATCTCGCCGGTTGATTAGAATCTAAAGTAGACCGATATATGACGTCTGCTAGGCTGAAATCAGTGAGGAGGTGGTGGGTGTACCTGCAAGGCACTCTGACGCTCAAGTAATAAAGAGTGCAAAGAGATATAAAAGAGAGATTAAGGTTTCTAGAGTGAATAATGGATATCTGACTCTCACAAGTGTGAGGGTTTATATAGTGTCTCCGGCACTTGACCATTGGTTCATATTTTTGGTCTTAGATATTAGGTTCCTCAAAAATAGGTAACTGCTAGGAATTGGTCAAGACGGACAGAGATGCTTGAAACTAGCCGTTATGACGAGCAGAGAGGTGCTCATGGAAAAAGATGATTCTGGCCAGTCCTGGGTGGTTGACCTCGTGTGATTGGTAGGCTGAGGACCAGCATGTCTGAGCGGGCAGAAGCGGTTGCCCAGACCCTAGTGGTTAGCCAGCCAGTGCTCCTCAGGTGAGGGGCTGGGGGGATAAATTATCTTTTATCCTTCATGGTTTATTGGGCCAAGGTTATTAGACCGTCTTATATGCAGAAGTGAATTGGACTCTGCTTGGCCATTTGGCCAGTCCAGAACAACAATAACCACTATTAAACAAATATCTAACAAAAATTGTGTAACATATATTGAATTAGAAAGGAGATGTCTGATAAAATATGTATTGACCAATTTGAATAGTTAAATCAAATGATATTCACTAACATGCTTTATTCATAATCTATAAACGCACTAAGCCAAAACTTAAAATATCCATATTCAACATATTACAAAATTTAAAAAAGGAATTTAAAGATGGTGGGATAAGAGCGACACTAATGTTTATATTGGCTCAACTACAATCTTCCTTTCAGGTGGTCTACTTTATTCTTAATGAAACTCTCATCAAAATTTCTTCCACTAAGTTCGATGATGCACAAAGTGCTACAATTCTGATGTTACAAGCAAATTTCTTAGCTTTGAACAATCGTAAATCCGTAGAAATTTGTCGAAACAAACTTTCAATCCTTCAACGACGTGTTTTGCAAAATTCAGAGAAATTTGTCATAGAAATTTTTAAATACAAATCTTCAATCTTTCAACGACATGTTTTGCAAAATCCGTAGAAATTTGTCGTAGAAATTTTTAAATGCAAACCTTCAATCTTTCAATGTTGTGCAATCCTTTAGCAATTAAACTCTGATTAGACAACGTGAATGCAAAAACCATTGTGATTTTACATACACATAACCTTCAATCTTTCAATGACGTGCAATCCTTTAACAAATGTGTTTACGTGTATTTGTCAAAAATGAGATTCATGCACAAATTTCTACGAAATTAAAATCATGAATGCATAATTGGGTATACACAAACGCGTTTAATGTGGATGACTATAAATTTCTATGGATTCATGCACAATCTTTCAACAAAGTGAATTCAAAATTCATTGAAATTCATCAAACCAAAATTTCAATCTTTCAACCACATGCAATCCTTTAGCAATTAAACCTTAATTAAACACATGTGATTATACACTCACATAAAAAGTAGGAAAATAAATATACAGAAAAACACAAAATTTGGACAAAAAATATTAACATACCAAAAGATTACATAATTATAACAACAGTAGAAACATGAAAATAAATGATTCATGGTGCAAGCACCTTAAAGTTATGTTACCAAATAAGACAACAAATTGTTAAGAAAACAAATACAATACAAACAACAAATCAAAACATATCACAAATTACAATGCAAAATGTTGAAAGTTGCACAAATATGCTTAACATATTTGAAAACTAAATGATGCATGGGGATATTATTCCAAATATTAAAATTTCATCAAATAGATTACAAATGCACCCAAATTACCAATCAACATTGTCAAGTGTAATAGAAGAACTTGCATAATGGAACTAGAATTGCATTTGATTGATAATGGTGATGATGATGATGGACTCTCGATGCGGTGACATTGATCTCTAATACAAAATTTCGAGGGTGGACTTATAAGGTTAGCACTCAAACATCCAAGTTAGTTACATGTCCCTTAGTCATCTCTGCCTTGCTGCGGGTCAGCACCTCTAGTTCGAGATGAGTGAATTGAAATTATGAGATTAAAAAAGTGTATCTTGAGTCTTAAGTGTGTCCATGATGGATAATTTTATTTGATCTTTTTATTGTTGGGCTTGATATCTAGATCTTACATGTATGGGGCCTTTGGTCGGTCTAGAATAGTTTCCCCCAAGGCTTGTCGGATGTTTTATCAGTTGGGGAAGTATTTCAATGTTATGATCGACATCTCATTACCAAAGTTGACCATAAGAAGAAGTGGGAAAGACATGGAGAAATTGCATAAGTATTAGGGAGCAAGAGCATTAAAGGCATTTCCCATCATTGAGAAATTTTGCTAATTTTTAGGCATATGGCCTTAGGCTCATAGGTTAGGGTGTGGTGCTCTTCTCTAGGACATTCGAGTTTAATTTATTTTGCTAATAATCCCATGGAAAAACTGAATTGTTTATATTTATCTTCCCATTTTCTTCTAATTTGGATCGTTGGTTGTGATTTGTTTCGTTATAAAGGGCTGAACTAGTTTTAAAACATTTTTTTCTTCGTTTACCCCTTAAAACTTATCTTCTTCTCTGAGCTAGTTTATTTCTTAGAATTCAGAAGATTCTAACCACTTAACATATCCTCGTGACGGGCCTTACTTCTATGTCACTATCTTTCTCGATCTTGTCTCTTTTTCCTAAGGTATTTCTCTATCTCCCTTTATGTAACATTATAGCCAACTTCGAGAATGTACCCGTAAACATGGTACCCAAACCCGACAGTGATGAGTTTTCATCATCATTTGAAGTTGAGAATCCAAATATTGTACCCATTTTCTAAGGGGTGAATCCTCTCGTCCATGCCCAGAATGCGCCTAAGGGTAATTCTAGGTTGCGGTTAGACTTTTCAGATGGTGTTGATGATCATGTGGTTAGGTAAATCTCCAATTGTGATGCCTTCCTTGTTCGTGCTTATTTTAATTTGGGTATTGTTCTATCTAGGGAGATATATCATGAGATTGGTTGCTTCATTCGGTCTCTTAAGAAAGACTATATAGTCTTCTTAGGCTTGTGCTTATTTTTAGGATTTCTCTACTAATTTTTACCAAAATGGCCTTTTTTATGATGCAAAAATAAACACGATTTGACTTGGGGTTTGTTGGAGTCAATTGATGTAGACCAATATTGATGGGTAGATCTTGAATTTTTAGGGATGGTTTACTTCTATATCTAAGATATCATCGTTGAGCATGCTGATGTTGAGGTAGGTTCATCTTATGGTTGGTTGATTTCTCCTATCCCTACCAACAAAAGGATTTGTAGAAATTTTGAGGGGTGCTCTATTTCCTTTTATGAGTGTATCCTTCAGAAGTTGAGTGTAAGACTGCCTCTGACCTCTTTTTTTAAAAGAGGTGTTTGAT